ACCTTGACTTTGTATTAAAAAGCAGAGACATTACTTTGCCAACAGAGGTCCGTATAGTCAAAGCTATGGTTTTTCCAGTAGTCATGTATGGATGTGAGAGTTGGACCATAAAGAAGGCTGAGCACTGAAGAATTGATGCTTTTGAACTGTGGTGCTGGAGAAGACTCTTGAGAGTCCCTTGGACTGCAAGGAGATAAAACCAGTGAATCCTAAAGAAAATCAACCCTGAATTTGGGTTGATTGGAAGGACTGATGCTGAAGCTGAAGTTCCAATACTGTGGCAACTGATGCAAAGAGTTAACTCATTGGAAAAGACCCTGATGCTGAGAAAGACTGAGGGCAAGAGGAGAAGAGGGCAACAGAGGATGAGATGGTTGAATGGCATCATTGAGTCAATGGACATGAGTTTGAGCAAACTCAGGGAGATAGTGAAGGTCAAGGAAGCCAGATGCTGGGAAAGATTGAAGGCAGGAGGAGAAGGGGATCACAGAGGATGAGATGGTTGAATGGGATCAATGGCTCAATGGACATGAGTTTGAGCAAGCTCTGGGAGTCAGTGATGGACAGGGAAGACTGGCATGCTGCAGTACATGGGGTTGGAAAGAGTCAGAAAGGACTGAGTGAACTGAACTGAACTGAAGGAAGACTGGTGTTCGGCAGTCCATGAGGTCCCAAAGAGTCAGACATGACTGAGCAACTGAACAATAACATAGTAGATCAAAAACACAATTTGACAGTATCTTAGAACACTTGCAGATTTATTCTCTCATATAAAAGCATGGAGTTTGGCTAACCAGGCTGGTAAAGTGTGAAATACCAGATCCGCCTGATCTTTCCTCCCCGCCAGTCCTAGGCACAGCTCTCATGGCCACGATGGCCGCCGAAGCCCTGCCGTTATATCCCACATCCATCAGGCAGGAGGAGCCGAAGCCCTGTCGTTATGTCCCACATCCATCAGGCAGGAGGAGGAGAGCAGAAGGGGGCAGCCCTCCACACCCTCAGGGGACCCTGCACTCAGAAGGGTGCATACTCAGTTTAACAAGATGGTGGACTGTTACTGTTTTAAAATCTAACTCATGTTCTCTTGGAGCTTAGCTTTTGTAAATGAGATCCAGTGGGACCAGGGAAAATATCCGCGAGCAGAGGAGACCAGTGTAACGTGCCATCGTCCACTGCAGCCCTCGTTCTCACACAGCATCGATAATGCCTGCCATGTAGCTTCCACGGCACGCTTACCTTGTACTCTGACATGCACTCAGGAGGACCTCCATGCAAGCATCAATTTAATGCTCTGTATTCCTGTTTTGAATTTATAATTAATTCTACCTTTGAAACTTGTGCTTTGTGAGTGAAGTCCAGTGGGACAAAGGCTGATGTTTAGTATGCGTGTCTTTCATTTGCACGTGCGCCAGGAACATAGAATTCTGGTGGACTCACAACATGAGGGCTTTTAGCAGGACTCAAAGTGAGTACAGGTAAGGGTGTTACAATACAGGTAAGGGTGTTACAATCTGTGACTGAGTGAGTAGGACCCACAGCCCCGAGAGGCCATGCTTTCCATTGAAATTAGAACTTGTTTCAAATGCAGAAAGAAGGCAGTGGTGTTTTAGGAAAAACAAGAAACCAGGAACCCACCCATATCCCTTCTGACTTGTGTTACTTCCCTGTATCAGTGAGTCACTCACTTTGAAAATGACGACAGATAAATGATAGGGTAACCCAGAGTTCATTTGATGTTCAGTTCTTTAATTATCAGTAAGGTAAAGGTAGAGAATGTTGGTACCATGTGAGCATACCAAGATGTAAAATTAAAATGTTGGTTTTATGCAACATTTTCACTGCTTGTTACGAGTGAAATACAAGTGCATGCATGATCTATGAAATATAAGTTGCATAATTTCTGTGATTCTTGTATATGAGTTAAATGCTCTTAAATTTTTTATTTAAAACTGGCATTGTACAATTTGAAGATGAATGGTAAAATTCATAGTAAGGGTATAAAAGTTTAATGTTTTTTACATAAATATGACAGTAAATATTGAATAAAAAACACCATGATGAATCAAGAGAGAGATTGCAGAAGAAAGGAAAAAGGATATTTTAGTACCTGTGGTGGTACTCTGAAATTTTTTTTCTTTTCTTTAATTATTTTTGGTTGTGCTGGGTCTTTGTTGCTCTGTGCCGGCTTTCTCTTCATTGTGGAACACAGGCTCTAAGTGCTCGGGCTTAGTAATTGTGGTGCATGGGTTTAATTGCTCTGAGGCATGTGGAAACTTCCCGAACCAGGGACGGAACCCCTGTCCCCTGCACTGGCAGATGGATTCTTATCCACTGCACCACCAGGGAAGTCCTGTAGTAGTACTTTTATTCTAGATTTTTGAACAAGGCGCACTGGGTCCTGCAAATTCCATAGCTGCCATGGAGCACATTAGCCTTGGTTGTCATATAGCTTGATCTCAACTCCATGTCAACTGCCAGGAGCTGATGCCCCTCTCCTCAAAGAGAGTAGCAGAGGTCCAGAGGACCTGGTGTGTTGAGGGCCTTCTTAAACTTCAGTGGTTATAATAAGGACCCTTATTTACCCAAATTCCCAGACAGCATCTTGAGGAGAGGAAGAGCAGGACAATGAGTGTTCCAAAAGACTTTGGAAACCAGTCACACGAGGGAGTTCAGCTCCAAATAGGCTGAACACTCCGACTGAAAGGAGGCCGTTCCACGTGGAGAGCTGGTGTAGTGTTAGAGGAAGCCCAGGCTTCCCCCTGCAGAGTAGGACGGCACTGCCAAGGAAGACCCGCATCTTCTTTGCAGATCTGAATGGCATGTGCACTTATGCAAGCCTGCTGCCCTGGATCCAAGACATTTTCCGTCTGAAATACACTCCTTCCTGCTCCTCTTCCCTCACCCCACCCCTCATCCTGTAACCCTGGTCACCTGGCTAATTTGTCACCTTTCTACACTCAGCTTGGTGTCTGCCCCCAGGAAGCCTCCCCTGACAGCCCACCCTCACTGGCCCCTCTGGTTACATGTTGTAACCTGCCCATCTGTGTATCAGAAGAGCAGTTTGAATGACATCAGACGTAACACTTGTCTTGGAGACTTCCTGCTGGTCCCTTACCCTCTCTGGGGTTTCCCTGGTGGCTCAGCTAGTAAAGAAGCCGCCTGCAATGTGGGAGACCTGGGTTTGATCCCTGGGTTGGGAAGATCCCCTGGAGAAGGGAACAGCTACCCACTCTAATATTCTGGCCTGGAGAATTCCATGGACTGTACAGTCCATGGGGAGGCAAACAGACATGACTGAATGACTTTCACTTTCACTTTACCCTCTTTGAGGCAGTTTCTCCATATGGAAGATGGGGTAATCATACCAGACCCACACCCCTTATTGAATTTTTTTAAATTTAGCTTGTGAATAGGTTCTACATATGCTTAGTACACAATTCAGAAGGTATATAAGGACACATAGTAAAAAATCACTCTCCTCCCCACTTCTAATTCCCAGCTGTCTTCTCCAAAGACAATCCTTGTCACCAGTTTCTTTAGCTTCCTTCCATAGACATACCAAGTGTTTTAGAGAAAATATATTGTCCATAATCACCTATGTAGCATTCCAGGGTAGGAGAATGCATATCCTGCCTCTAACTATGAGGAAGCATCAGACAAATGAGAAATATTTTGTCTTTTTAAGTGACAGTCAGAGAGCATCAAAATCACAAAACAAAGAAAAGCTGTGGACATATTCCAGAATTAAAGAGAGTGGTAGATTAGATAAAAGCACTGTATTTGTGTTAAATTTACTGAAGTTGGTAAGTGTACATAAGAAGGGGAAGCAGGGCATACATGATAAAGCATATGGGTTAATTGTTAACAATAGGTGAATTTGGGTAAAGCACTGATGAATATTTTTGTTATATTTTTATTTTTGCAATTTATGTCTACATTTGAGATTATTTTGCCTAACACATCATATTCATATTTGTGGGTTCAAGTATTTGCAAATTTTTTTACTCACTAAACTTTAGTTGGGGCCCCAAATCAACACTTCAGGCACTTGCACAGTCATTGCAGACGTGCAGAGCAGGGACAAATCTGTGTCGTCCAACAGGCAAGTTCCCAGCTAAGGTCAAACAAAGCAGTCCCCTGCCTCCCTGCTTTTAGCTCTCAGCCTGTAAATAAGTGTCCTCTTTGCACTCTATGTAGTGCCATGTCTTGCAAAATTTTGTGCTTTTTGTTGACAATTTGTTGCATAAAACTGCCTCCAATCTTAGTGCTGAAGAGCTGTCTAGCATTCCTGGGCATGCAAAAGTACTTTGATGTTCCTTACAGAGAAGACACAGGTGCTCTTAGATGAGCTTTGTTCAGGCATGAGTTCTAATGCTGTTGGCTATGAGCTCAGTGAAAATGAATCAACAATACAATTACATAAAATGTCTTTAAACAGAAATGGTTAAGTTATATATGTGTTCACGAGTTGATGAAAATATTGTGAGCAGAGCTTGCAGGAACCTAACCCTGCATTTCCCCCGGGAACCATGGTTTAGTATCTGTTAATTCAGGGTTTATGGCAACTTTATAGAACATAACTACTATCAGTAACAAGAATCAACTGTTTCTATGTCTTGTCCTGTATATCCTACACCAACGACAGAATACAAGATGCACTGTTCTGTACTATATGAATATATTTAACAATATTCACAGAGATCTTGCTGTTAGTTTGCATTCATTCTTTTTGGGGGGGGACCACAAAAAATCTATACTTCTATATTGGGGGGAATGAGTAGAAAAGAAATTAGCCCCTATACTGGACCCTATTCAATGGGAGCTTCTTTTTCCATAGGGTTAAGGAAGACTTTGAGGAAATAAAAGTTGTTTGGAAAAGTCCATGCGTAGTTGCTTTGTATGTTGTGATGGGTAAAAGGGATGAAGTGTGAAGGCCCCTCACACCCTCCATCTTGCTTCAGACTATGTCCTGGAACCCTGGGGCAGAGAAAGCGCCGCTTTCATTCCTGCTTCCTGGGATTGTTGACGGCTGTGTAGTGACAGAGAACAACAAGCAGCAACAGTGGGACACCCAGCATGTTGGCGAAGATGGAGAGCTGCACATCCGGGAGCACGCATATCAGCTGGGCTCAGCTCCAGGCATGGTCTGCATACTACCTGGAGGTAGGGAGCCAGGACCGGAAGTTTGCAGCGCCCTGAATTCATTCTTTATTCATTCTTTTTTTTTTTTTCCAATCAGGTGAACAAAACATGGTCTATGGAGATCAGCCTCTTTTCTCAGTCACCCCAGGGCTCACTCAGTGGGCCCATATAACCAGCTGGCCACAGTAGGGGGTTTTGTGGGCATTTGGGGTTTTTTGGTTGCTTTTTTTTTTTTTTGCTGTTCATTCTTTTGAACAGATGCCTGGGATTCACCATATGAGTGTTTCCTAATTGGTCTAACTAATCTTCTAGCGACAAACATTTGTATTTTATCTTTTCAAAATGTCACAGTCTTGCATATAGTACTTCTGTGACATCTCCTGGTTCCTGGGATAAAATTTTAAATCCTTACTTCTCAGTAGTTAAGACTAGGTGTTTCCAGTGCAGGGGGTGAGGGTCTGATCCATGGTCAGAAAACTAAATCCCACATGCCATGTGGTAGGGCCAAAAAAAAAAATTTAAAGCCCGTATCCATGACTTGCCAGACAGTCTCACACAGCGTGCTGGTATCTGCAGGTCTCCCCTCCAGCCTTCTTGCACCCCTGGTTCTATCCACACTGCCTGCTGCCACAGCGCATGTGCACAAACTTTCCTCATGGGACATTGTCCCTCAGCCTGATTAACTATCCTCTTTCTTGAAACCTCTGCCTCACAGTTTTTGTTCACCAATGTGTTACCATGGGGACCTGGCACAGAATCTGGCATGGAGAATATATTCAATACACTCAAGTTAAACAATGGAAAGAATGAGGTGGGAGGCAGCCCAGGAGGGAAGCCAGCTGGTGAGAATTATGTTTACGTGGCTCTCTTTTGACCAAACACTTGGTCTTAAATGCTTACTAGAATGAAAACAGCACAGCTGACTTATCTCCTGTTAGGCTCTCAGCTCATTAGCACTGGAGTGATTTCTGTTGAACTAGACATGTAATGATGCTGGGAAGTCAGAATGCCCTGCAGAGTGACCCTGAGGAGGTCACAATACCTTTCTGTGTCAGTTCTTCCCCATGGAAGGAGGTGATAATGTCTGGATCTGCCTTGTTGTAAGCAAAACACTTAGGCACATTCCAGGGGCTCTCTTCTCTCCCTCTAGCTCCTGCCATCTTTTGAAGTTTTCCATAATATCTTAAGACATTATGGAAAAACTCTGACAAATTTTAGAGTTTAGATATGTTAACTAATGTGTTAACATTAACTAATGTTAATGTGCTAACATTAACTAATAACTAATGTGTTAACATCTTAAGATGTTATGGAAAAACTAACAAACTTTTTCACCAACCCAATATAAAGCATTGCCCCTGTCCTCGAAGGACAGGTGGCTCAGACGGTAAAGAATCCACCTGAAATGCGGGAAACCTGGGTTTGATACCTGGGTTGGGAAAATCCTGGAGGAAAAAACATGGTCGATGGAGATCAGCCTCTTTTCTCAGTCACCCCAGGGCTCACTCAGTGGGCCCATATAACCAGCTGGCCACAGTAGGGGGTTTTGTGGGCATTTGGGGTTTTTTGGTTGCTTTTTTTTTTTTTTGCTGTTCATTCTTTTGAACAGATGCCTGGGATTCACCATATGAGTGTTTCCTAATTGGTCTAACTAATCTTCTAGCGACAAACATTTGTATTTTATCTTTTCAAAATGTCACAGTCTTGCATATAGTACTTCTGTGACATCTCCTGGTTCCTGGGATAAAATTTTAAATCCTTACTTCTCAGTAGTTAAGACTAGGTGTTTCCAGTGCAGGGGGTGAGGGTCTGATCCATGGTCAGAAAACTAAATCCCACATGCCATGTGGTAGGGCCAAAAAAAAAAATTTAAAGCCCGTATCCATGACTTGCCAGACAGTCTCACACAGCGTGCTGGTATCTGCAGGTCTCCCCTCCAGCCTTCTTGCACCCCTGGTTCTATCCACACTGCCTGCTGCCACAGCGCATGTGCACAAACTTTCCTCATGGGACATTGTCCCTCAGCCTGATTAACTATCCTCTTTCTTGAAACCTCTGCCTCACAGTTTTTGTTCACCAATGTGTTACCATGGGGACCTGGCACAGAATCTGGCATGGAGAATATATTCAATACACTCAAGTTAAACAATGGAAAGAATGAGGTGGGAGGCAGCCCAGGAGGGAAGCCAGCTGGTGAGAATTATGTTTACGTGGCTCTCTTTTGACCAAACACTTGGTCTTAAATGCTTACTAGAATGAAAACAGCACAGCTGACTTATCTCCTGTTAGGCTCTCAGCTCATTAGCACTGGAGTGATTTCTGTTGAACTAGACATGTAATGATGCTGGGAAGTCAGAATGCCCTGCAGAGTGACCCTGAGGAGGTCACAATACCTTTCTGTGCCAGTTCTTCCCCATGGAAGGAGGTGATAATGTCTGGATCTGCCTTGTTGTAAGCAAAACACTTAGGCACATCCCAGGGGCTCTCTTCTCTCCCTCTAGCTCCTGCCATCATTTGAAGTTTTCCATAATATCTTAAGACATTATGGAAAAACTCTGACAAATTTTAGAGTTTAGATATGTTAACTAATGTGCTAACATTAACTAATGTTAATGTGCTAACATTAACTAATAACTAATGTGTTAACAACTTTTTCCATAACATCTTAAGATGTTATGGAAAAACTAACAAACTTTTTCACCAACCCAATATAAAGCATTGCCCCTGTCCTCGAAGGACAGGTGGCTCAGACGGTAAAGAATCCACCTGAAATGCGGGAAACCTGGGTTTGATACCTGGGTTGGGAAAATCCTGGAGGAAGGCATAGCAACCCACCCCAGTATTCTTGCCTGGAGAATCCCCATGGACAGAGGAGCCTGGTGAGCTACAGTCCATGGCGTCACAAAGAGTGAGACACGACTAAGTAACTAAGCACAGCGCACTATCCTCAAGGATATCCTCAGCATATTGACTCAGAAGAAAAGATTTGAATACAAAGATCCAGTGACAAGTCACCATTCCCCCACAGGCTTTCTCCTACTCTCCCTCCAGCCAAGAGATGCCTGCTGGCATCAAGCAAAAGGGAGGGATCCAAAGAGGAGGTGTCTTAGCCCAAGTGTTTTTCCACCTCCCCAGGGGCAGATTGCACATCCCTGAGCAGGGAGGGGCAGAGCGTTGTCAAGACCATCACCAGGTCTTTGGCTCATTTCCACCTTCGAATGACTGATACTATTCTCGTGGTTTCTCTAAAACTATATGAACCTTGTGGTTAAACCCACATCCTTCCTCTCTGCCCAAAGGCCCCCAGTCACATCCTCTCAATGACCACCACCACTTTTCTTCTATTTTTGGTTGCAAAATGAATCCAACTAGCTCACATAGAAGGTCTGAGAGAAAGAGGGAGTGAGCATACACAGGGATCTCGTACACCCAGAATCCAAACAACTACTTCTCCCCACCTACCAACCTCCTCCCCAGCATGAAGCATTTTCATCTCTCACCTGGTTTCTTGCAACATCCCTAGCTGATATTCCTACCTTAACCTTTGTGCACTAAATCTTTCTCCATGTATAGGATTGCCAGATAAAATTTAGGACACTGAGCTAAATTTGCACTTCAGATAAACAAAAAAAAATTTTTTAGTATAAATATGTCACAAATATTAAATGGGATACACTTCTACTAAAAATATTCATTTATCTGAAACACAAATTTAACAGGACATCATGAAATTTTATTTGCTAAATCTGGCAAACCTACCCATTTAGCAACTAGAGTCATCCTTTTAAGATGCAAGTTAGCTCATATTATCCCTCCACTCAAAATCCACCAAGGGCTTCCCATCTCTGAGCAAAGTGCTTGCCGTGACCTGCCTTCCCCAATTCTCCTTGTGTCGCATCCTCTACCACCCACCTCCTTGGCCACCCAACCCAGCCACCCTGGCTTCCTTGTTGCTTGCTCCTTCTCCTTCCTTAGAGTTTTGCTATCTCAGTGAGGTCTTCTCCGACCATCCTTTAAATAAACACTGGAATCACCCTACCTTCTATCACCTCTCTGCTTTCTCTTTATCTTCTAACACACCACAGTCCACATGTGTATTGGTTTGCTCCCTTTTCTCACTAAAAAGCATGGTCCATGAAGGCAGGCCCCTGCAGTTTGTTCAAGCTAAGTATCCGGCCTCAGTGGGCACTCAATAAATATTTGTTGAGCCAATGATGAAACCCAAGAACAAGAAGCACAGCCAGGAAAGTCTGAAAACAAGGGGATTTGGTTTTATTTTTCTTTCTTGGCAGCCTTGCTCTAATCTTTCTCCACTTAATCATCTTGCTCAAGGCCCCCTTTGGACACCTTCCATGTTTCACCAGTACTTCTCAAGGGTGCCATCACAAGGCTGGGGCAATCTGATTGGCTCAGTTCACCTCCCTTTCTCTCTCTCTCCTTTTCTTTCTTTATCCCTTTCCCCCTCCTTCCCTATCTCTCCTTGCCACTTATGTTTTTAATATTTTTAGTGAATGAGTAATATTCTTAAACATACACTTTCTTTATGTCAGGGGTGAAAAGGAGTGATTTAGGGGCTCTGTCAGCCTAGAGCAAATGCCACTAAACATCTTCCTTGTGTCTCTACCGAGGCACAGGTTCCCCACAGAGAGTCATTGGTGCTCTGGTCTGTATTAGCCAGAGAAGGACAGCCTTTACTCTGGTAGCAAACAGCCTCAAAATCTCAGCCATAAAAAGTAGAAATTTACTCCTTACATATGATATACGTCTAAAACGAATTTGCAGGGATTCTGCAGTCCCAAGCCTCAGGAACCCAGACTAATAGAGGCTCTTCTGAATTGTAGCAGGGAATTAGAGATGGAGGAACCCACTCTTCAATGGGTCAGCCCAGAAGTGAGGGCCAGCACTTCTACTTGCAGCCCTTTGTCTAGAATTGGTCATATAATTGCAGAGGGGCTAGGAAATGTGGGCGAGCTGGTAAGAA